CCTTTTAACAGCATGGAGTTGGTTGTGCTAACCGGATTGCCACTGCCTCTGCTGTGGCGATTATATAAACACTGCAATTAACTGATCATTTTCATTCTCCGTGTCACTGTACCAGCCAGATGATGAATGACTGAAAATAATTGTTTGCCAATGTGACTTTTTAATTATAGTTTATCTGAACTTTGGGTGGTTGCTGTTCCCATCTCCTGTTTGGGGGACCACATAAACCTTTATCGGTTACTTTCCAGTTAAAGCAACAAAATGAGTTCGAGGCGGCAGTCGGGCTGACGAAGACGCTGTCCCTGGAACAGCGACTTTATTTGCCTGAAGTGTCGCGTTCATTGGTACATCTACTTATGCTGCACTAACAATCTGTACTTGCTTCAGAGGTCATTAATTGTGATAAGTAGACAATGGCATAGTAAATGCCTTCTCTATTAAACACAGCGGCAAATGCACAAACATTGGCCTTATCCGTTTCAGTCCATGGTGGTTGATTAAAATGTGGATCCAGAACGCCTGGAAAACTACTGGATCATATTCCTCCAAATAACCTTTAAAACATTTCCCAATTTTGAATGCATAGAACTTGGTTTAGAAGCAAAAGTTCGGCTGTTTTATATTATGATAGTAAGGTTATACAAGGTGTATTGTTGGCCCTATAGAGGTAGTATCTGGAGCTATAACGATATAATTCTATTGCTTTTAACCCTGCGCTCTCCTCTTGCAGCTCTGCTTGCCTACGAAAAGAACTGGCTGGACCGTGTCAACGCCACGGTTCGGAGATCGATGCAACAGGTCTACATCGATGTCGAGGCGATGGCAGATGATATATCGGTAGGCATTTGGATGACCCTATGTTAACCTCTCTCTCTCTCTTCCCACGTACGAGGAAGCCGCAAATAATTTGCATCTTATCCTTGTAGATCCTGGAGAATTTCGAACAGGAGCACTCGAAGGATGACTTCGCCAGACTGCAGCACCTCACAAAACTATTGGTTGGCGCTCAGGTCATGGCTCAGAAGATCACCTCTGACTTTGAACGTTACGAGAAGGCAGTAGGAGAAGCCGGTGACAAGGTACCTACTTATTTATCGTCCGCCCCCAAAGGGAGTATTTTTAGAAAATATCGATTTATCACGCTGGTGGCCAAACCAATTCGCCATTTGTGCGAAAATCTAATTCCGTTGTAAGTAACCACTAGCGCGGGAACATGGAGTGTCTCTTCGACACTCTGTAGATGACGTGATGGGCTTGATTGGCGTCTGCTCACTGGGCGCTGCCAAATATGTGAGCCACGATTGCGCTAGCTATGGAATTTTCTATGCTGGCTTTAGCCTCTTGGATATGCGTCTAACAGTTCAAATAATATAACCTACTTTACAGGAGCAAGACAAAACACACGTGTACCTTGACATATTCTGAAAGGACAGCCTATCCTTACTTTGAGAGCGAAGGGTTTTATAAAATTATCCCTATCTTAGCGGCTGAGTATGAGTACGTAATGATAAAGTCTAGACGATGCTGAACGACTTGGCTGGCCGGTTCTTCCCGAAATATCGGAATGAGAAATGGATCCTACTACTACTACCTGTTACGGCTGTCAGGGCCTCTGTCGAGGCCCCAGGCAGAACGGGACAGATGATTTTCGTTAGTGGTCAGTTGAACGTACATCAACGAGTGTCAATATCTCCTGACGTAAACCGGCGAGGCAACAGGTTTGTGGGTCAATGATTAGGACGTTTGACTCTGATGAAGAAGGTTGCGAGTTCAAGGCTCCAGTAGGACACTACGTGGGTCTGGATATGACCGACTAAAGATGGCTAATCCGCCAAAAATGGCTACTTCAGTCTCCTTTGTCGTCGCCGGCAAAACTAGCTGTGTACTACAAGCTGCTGCGACTATCGAAGCACCAGGTAGACCAGGACAAATGAGTTCTGTTAGCGTTTAACAGAATGTTAATCAACGAGTGTCTTTTTCAACCGTCGGCGCGTCCTTTTAGGGACATACTCGTTTATTAATTTCGTGAAAAAACCGCTAGTACGACTACTTACTCGGAGATGGGTTTTTGTGAATGGGCGTGCCTCAGCCAACGTATCCATCGCACAGATTCTTCGAGCTCCGTGAGTAAGGCAACAGACAA